AGCGTCTCTAGCCTCCTCCTCGAGCCAGCCCACTGGGCCCACGTCTCGGTGGTGGACCGCCTGGCCCTCGGCCTCGAGGGCGCGGCTGATCAGGATTTGGCCCTCCCACATGGGCGCGCCTAGCGCGCCGATCACCAGCTTCGTCTTGTCGTGGTAGTAGCACTTTTCCAGGCGCACGAAGTTGATGGCGTCGAGGATATCTTCCTTGCTGATCTCCGTCTCCGCCTCGATGTCCTCGATGGCACCCTTCATGAAGCCGCCCACGTCGCACTTGTACAGTCCTTCTAGGGCCGTCAGCGCGCGGGACGGAGCTGGCGACCCTATCCACTGCAGGCATTTCTTGTCATCTGGGGGGCCGCTCTTCCTGAGGGAGTCCATAATGTGCTCGTAGCTTTCGTGCTCCTGCGTGATGGCACCTACCTGCTTGCCATGCTCGTCGTAAATGTCTAACTGCATGATCTTGATGTTCCGTTCGGCCTTCTTCGTGGCCCCGTGAATGCCCAGTGAGGCCAGGGTGTCCTGTTTACCGATGTTCTGTGCGTATTGAGTTCCATTCTGTATGAGTCCTATCCTCAGATACAATCGCCACAAATGGTCGAAACAGTGAGATAACGTACGCGTGCATGAATGTCCTGAATCACATTGCCAGTGGGTTGTTTTTTTCTTTTTTTGCCGATGTCGAAAGTCTGGATGATGGCGGAGCTGACGTCGTGATCGATCTCGAGCTTCCGTCGACTGGGGTGATAGACTCGCTCAGCGAGCGGGTCCGCGTATTGATAATCTGCAGTGTCATGTCCCATTCCTGCCCTTTGAACACCAGTGCGCATCAGGTGCTGCAGGGCGAGGAGCATGATGGTGAGTTCGATGGGCCTTGAAGAGAAGTAGGTGGGTCGTCGGACTGGAAATTGATGATCAGGGCGCTCGTCACCAGGGTCACGTTCATGTCGACCTTTAAGTCCAGGTGGCAATTCAAGTCCAGCGTGCAGTTGTTCCACTGGTGGCGGTTCAGGTGCAGCGTGGTGTAGTCCTGCACGCACTGGCCCTCTGTGTTCGTGAAGACGTTGAAATTGAAGTTCATCGTCCAGTCGTCCAGGGTCAGCGTGTCGTACTCCTGCATGTGCTGGCCCTCTATGTCCGTGAAAAAGTTGGAATTGACGCTCAGCGTCCAGTAGTCCTTAGCGAGCTGGGTGTGTAGGTAGTGGTCCAGCGTCCGGTAGTTCGGGGTCAGCGTGTCGTAATCCTTCATGTGCTGGCCCTCTGTGTTCATGGAGATGTAGCTCAGCGTCCAGTCCCGCACGTACTGGCCCTCTGTGTTCGTGGAGATGTTGAAATTGACGTTCAGCTTCCAGTCGTTCAGGGTCCGCGTGTCGTAATCCTGCATGTGCTGGCCCTGTATGTTCGTGATGATGTTGGGATTGATGCTCAGCGCCCAGTAGTCCTTCGCAGTGTGGGTGTGGGGGTAGTAGTCCAAGTGGCAAGTCACGTTCAGCGTGCAATTGTTCCACTGGTGGCAATTCATGGGCCGCATGGTGTGATCCTGCCTGTGCTGGCCCTCTGTATTCGTGAGGATGTTGTTGTTGAAGCTCAGCGTCCAGTAGTTCAGGGTCAGCGTGTCGTAATACTTGAGCATCGGCATCATCGTCTGGCTGGTGGTCAGGTGCTTGGGCCATGCGCTCGTCCATGTTCCTGATGTCAGCGAACGAGTCCTGTGCTCAGCAGGTGCGCGGCGCCCGCGCTCCGGAGCACGTCCATGGCGGCATGGCGGTGTGCGGGGTATCGTCAAGAGGCCCCCTGCCTTTCGGGCAGGGCGAGGTTGCGGTGACTGGAGGCCGCTGCTCCATCAATGGCCTGAGCGCGCGGCGGCCTTTGATGATGATGATGATGATGATGATGATGATGATGATGATGATGACGATGATGACTATGAGGAGGATGAGGAGAACGAGGAAGAGGAGAAGGCAAAAGGAAGAAGAGGAGGAGGGAGAGGGGCGGGAATAAATGGACGCGAAAGGGAGGGCGATGGCTCCGGGAGCTGGGCGGCCAAAGGGGGGAAGGGGGGGGGGGCTTCAAGCCCCCCCCCCCCTTCTGCACCAAGGGAGGGAGGGGGGGGCTTCAAGCCTGCACCAGGGAAGGGGGGGAAAGCCCCCCCCCCTTTCAAAGGGGGGGGTGGCTCACCCCAGCTCCATTAAAAGGAGGGAGGGGGGGTAGCTTGGAAGCCCCCCCCTTTCCGGCCACGAAAAGGGAGGGGGGGGTAGCTTCCGAAGCCCCCCCCCCTTTCAAAGGGGGGGGTGGCTCACCCCGGCTCAATTAAAGGGAGGGAGGGGGGGGTAGCTTGGAAGCCCCCCCCCCCTTTCCGAACCACGAAAAGGGGGGAGGGGGGGGGGCTTCCGAAGCCCCCCCCCCTTTAGCAAGGAAGGGGGGAGGGGGGTAGCTTCAAGCTGGGGCCCCCCTTTTAGTCTATCGGGCCCCACGCGCGCGCTCTATCACAAATCTTTATAGGAGCCTATGAAAAATAAACTTGGAAGGAGGGTTTAATGCAACGTCGTTGATGAATCTTGTCTTTCCGCTGGCTCCTCCTGGTCCTCCTCATCTCCTCACTCCTCCTCCTCCTCCTCCTCCTCCTCCTCCTCCTCCTCCTCCTACTCCAGCTCCTGCCTCCTCTTCCTCCTCCGCCCCCTCTGCTTGGATAGCAGGGCCCCGTCAAGGACTCGGGGATAGCCGTAGCACCCCCCGTTGGTTGGAGGCTGGCGGCGTGGTCGGTGCCGCCCGATGGGCACGGTTTTTACATGCAGGGGCAAGCACCCCCAGGGACTGGCGGAGGTAGGGCCCCTTTTTCAACGCTTGTCGGGCGCCTCCCCACGGGGAGTGGCGTAAGCCGCGGTGGGAGCGTGCCGCTCCCCCCCCTGGGGATCCCAATCCCGCCGACGTTCCCCCCCCACCGCCGGGGTCGCAGGCCAGTAGCTTTTCCGGCGCCGCATTTGAGCCGAGGGCGAACGTCTACCGTTAGTGATGTTGATGGCCCCCAAAGCCTCATGTGTGCCTTGCGACCGTCTGCCGTTTGTTGTGTCAATGGCCTCTGGAGCCTCATGTTTGTCTTGCATGCCTCTATCATTATTTGCTGTGGCCTCTTGTGCCTCGGTTGTTTTGTTCGACATCCTGTCCTTCGGCTTCTCCTGCGTGGACAGCCGCGACTCCTCCTCCTCCTCCTCCTCCTCCTCCTCCTCCTCCTCCTCCTCCTCCTCCTCCTCATCATCATCATCATCATCATCATCATCATCATCATCATCATTCCTCCTCCTCCACATTTTTTTCCGTACAACTAATCCCCCCGTCGCACCCGGAAGCGTGTCGGTAGGGTGCGCTGGGCGTTCCGCCTGAGACGTCCTCACCGCTGATGATCCTGAACTTTTGAGACTCCGCAGCAGATTCACGGATGAAGGGCGGCTGGTTTTCAAAATGTGGCTATCGCCGTATCGCCGCGCGCATTCTTTTGGCAAGTTCTCGAGACATTCACGGATGGCGGGCATGTGGTTTTCAACACGTGGTTCTCGCATGAGCACCACGGCACATTCGTCCTCAAAGTTTGCAAGAGTTTCACGGCTGAGGGCGGTTGGTTTGGTTACACAATGCGGTTCTCGCCAACGCGCCCCGCAGATTCTTTTTAAAAGATTGTAAGAGTTTCACGGGTGGCGTGCGGATCGTAGCGCCGCGCACGTGCGTCTTGAAAGATTGCGAAGTTTGAAGGATGGAGGGCGCATCTGTTTCAAGTTTTGGCTCTCACCTTAGAGCCGCGAACATGCGCCTCAACAGTTTGCACTGAATTCACGGCTGGAGGGCGGCTCACTTTCGATAGGTGGCTCTCGCTTCGATGTCGAGCACATTCGTCTTGAACGTGAACAGCACTTTCACGGCTGAGGGCGGGTCGTGTTCAAACAAACTCTGGCGCTCGACTCTCGCTTTCGCGCCGCGCACATTATCTCAACAGTCTGCAGCAGCTTCGCGGCTGGAAGCCGGCTCCCTTTCAATCTGTGGCTCTCGCCGTGGCGCCGCGCACGGTCGCCTGAAGTTGACAGCAGTTTCACGGCTGAGGGCGGGCCGTTTTCAGAACTTGGCTCTCGCCCAGGCGCCGCGTGGTTTCGTCTTGAAACTTTGCAAGGGCTTCACGGATAGAGGGCGGGCCGTTTTCAGAACGAAGCTCTCGCTTCAGCGCTGGGCAATTTCGTCTTAAACGTTTGCAGAAATTTCACGGATGGAAGACGTGCGGATTCTAAAATGTGTGTCTCGCTTCAGCGCCGCGCCGATTCGTCTTAACAACTTGAAGAAGCTTCACGGATAGGTGCCGATTCTTTTTCAGCATGCGGGTCTCGCCTGACCGCCGCCCACCTTCGCCTTACCAAATTTCATCATGTTAACGGGTTCTTATGATTGACATCCCAAGAACGGTGCTGCTGGAGTGGTGTTCTGGTACGATGCCAAATCGTCAGGGCCCAACCTTGACACGTATTCGAGGCGTTGAAGTCCAAGCAATGGTGTTTTGACACGATTGAGAACTCTCAGACGGTTGTCTTTCAACGCGGCACTTCCAACAGTGAACGTACATTATTGAAGGAGCCTGTGAAAAAAGGAACTTGGAGGAAGGGTTTGATTCAACATCGTTGATGCGGCTTGGGTTTACACTGGTCCTCCTCCTCCCCCTCCCTCCTACCGAAACCCTCTCGTCGTCCCCTCCCCTCTCTCCCCTTCCCCCCCCTCGCCGTCACCACTTTTGGGGAGACCAAAAGGTACCGATACCGCTACTCCCTGCACCTCTCCCGGGGTGCGTTCTGACCAGAGTTTCGAGGCGAATCCAACGGTGGCGACGAGGGCCTTCGAGGGGGCCCGAAAAAAGGGAGAACGGACGGAGGTCAGCGGCATGGGTACATTTTTGCTCCCCTGAACTCTGGGGGAGCACGCCCTCTGGCGGGGGCATGGACGAGTGGCGCCCACTCCGCGCGCGCGTCGGCCGCTCAGGCCCGCGGCCCGCGCGGCGCGCCCCGTCCTGCGCGCGCGCTCGCCCGCGGGAGCCGCCCTCCCCTCGATCCCCGGCCGGCTCTCCCTCCCTGGGGGGGCGTAGAGGGACATGGTGGTACCGTAGGTTCTCCCTGGAGGTGCGCGTCCGACCCAAACATTTAGTATACCCATCTTGTAGCTCCCGCAACACAGTTCGACACAAAGCCTTCCCGCAAAGAGCACGAGAGCCGTCGATCGTCCACCCCAGCCAACTCCAAACGAGGAGGCCACGACGCGCCAAATGCGTGTCTCTTGTAGTATATCGTTTCCCGAGCGGTGTGTGGCCAGAAAGCGCCCGCCACGACGCATATACAACAAGATTCCTCGGTGCGCGCATCGCCCCCGGCGGGGCGGCGCACATATAGTAGAAGCATGTTGGGGTGACGCCGAGAGCTCCTCCCCTGTGAGGGAGATCCTGAAGGCCTCGCGCGGCAACTTCAGACCCGATGTGCGTCGGATCCACGTCGGATGTACGTTGGGCTCACGTCAGACTGCGTCGGATTTGCGTCGGATTCGCGTCGGACTGACTCCGGAGCATCGCCGCGCGAGCGTCGACGCACAGCTGAAAGAACTGACAGGTGGACTGGGTCACAGTACCATTACGCGCCGCGCGAGGCCTCGAGGACTCTCCTCGTAACTCCCCCATCCTGCCCCTCCCCCCGCTCCCCAGGGTTGGAGCAAGGAAACACCCAACCACATAACTATAAAACTGTTGACGGTCCGCGCCGACTCCATGGCTCTGCGCTGGGCCCCCCTGGCGGCGCCTCCGGCGCCAGCCCTGGCGCACGCCGCGCGCCAGGGAGGGGGGTCCAGCGCAGATCCAAGAACTCCGCGCGGACTGTCAAAAGCTCATGTTTATGCATCTGTTTCTTCTTCGAGGGTGGATGGTCGGGGCCGCGGTTTCCTTTCGCCGCCAGGCAGGCCAGGATGTGAATATCGTATAGGCTATGTTGTATAGCTTCAGGATCCACACTTGTGGCCCAGAGGGCCCCACCTGGCACTGCGGAGCATGACGTTTCCTCCCGCCGAGTCGCTCCGATCTCCCCGCTCCCTCCTCGAACTCCCCCCTTTGGCCCTCCCCTCCCTTCGATTCCTTGCTGGGGCGGCAGCTTGCTCACCATGCGTTGCGCTGCCTGTGCCGCCTCTTCCAAAGCGAGTGCTTCGGAACTACGTAAAAAAAACTCTTCCAAAACAGAAGTGCACCACCCGTGTTCGCGGGTGTGGTCCGCGCTACACTCCCGCACGTGCTAATCGCCTCAAGTGTTCCCTCCCTCTTCTCTTCCTGCACATCCCCCTCTTCCTCGAGAACGGGGGGTTGTGGGGTACCTCGCCTTTCGGAAGGTGTTTTCCCCTTCTCCTGCCCCTCCTCCTCTGTCTTCCTCTTCTCCTACTCCTCCTTTTTCTCCTCCTCCTCTTCTTCCTCCTCCTCCTCCTCCTCATCCTCCTGCCGCCTTTCCATTCCCCTCCCTTCCTCCTGCCATCCCTCCGCCCCTCCACCCTCTCCGCCCACGCCCACTCCCCTACCCTCCCGCAGTCCCCGTATCCCTTCTCGCTCCTATCCTCCCCGTCCCTCGTGGCGACGGGAAAGGTGGAGGAGAGCGAGAAGAAGGCGGGCAGACGAGCCTTTCCTCCCCCAGAGAACCCCACGAAGCCTGCGAGTGCCGCCAGATAGGCCCCCCCCCCGCGCGTCATCTCAAACCGCCGGGGGCATAACGAAAACTGGCGAACCTTCCTGTCCATCCACGTCGTCGTCTCCAGGAAAGGGTCTGCCCCCGCCCCCCCTCGTCCGCCCCTCCCCCCCCCCACACAAAAGGGGGTCCTACAGGTCCGCCGCGAGGCTCGCGTCCTTCCGCGCGGTGGCCATGCAACAGTATACGGAGCCCGTCGCGGCAGCTGCGATGGCCTGTTCCCCGCCCCACCTCGGCCTCGCCGTCCTCGCCTCCGCATTTCCTTCCCGTTCTCCCTTTTCCATTCCCCTCCCTTCTCCACCCACCTCCCTCCCTCCCTCCCTCCCTCCCCGGCTGCCGCCCCGGTTCGAGAAGTTTAGGGCGCCGCACCAGGTACAGCGAACCTCTCTTGGGGCTGGCAGCCACGCGCGCTGGCCCGCGCCCGCGCATCGGGCGGTCGGGGCCCGCCGCGCCTCGCGCTGCTCCTGGCGTGCCTGGCGGCTCTCGCGCCTGGCGCCCCGCTGCTGGCGGCACGCCGCGGGTTTCCCGCAGCCCCCGCTCACGCCCGCGGCCTACCGGCGGCGGCAGCGAGCCGGCCTGGCACAGGCGTGTTCGTGCTCAGCGCGCTCAAGCTCGACTTGTCCTTCGCATAGCGAGTGCGGCGAGGTGCTTGGCGACGCACCACAGCGCGACGGCGCGGCAGGCCAGAGGCAAGGGCGGAGGCAAGGGCGGCGGTCAGTCCCCGCCGTCCCCGCCGCCCCCCCCTGCGGTGGTGTCCAGCATGCGGGCACGCAAATGCTGCCAGCGACCTGATGTGCAGGACCTGCTGCCCGCTGCCGCAGCAGAGTCCCGCGGCGTTCAGCGTGTTCCGCGATCAGCCGCAGCACCAGCAGCAGCAGCAGCAGCAGCAGCAGCAGCAGCAGCAGCAGCAGCCGCAGCAGCAGCAGCAGCAGCAGCAGCAGCAGCAGCAGCATGCACCAGCGGGCAGCGGGCGAGATCAGCACGGAGGAAGTGGACGTGACCAGCGGCGGCGGAGGCGTGCTTCAAGGCCAGCGCACAACAGCGCTCAGCCCAGTCGCCAGCGCAGCCCGAGCCGTGTTCCGCATCCCGCCCATCCCCAGCAGCGAGATGGCGAGCCTGCGGAGGGGCTAGCCCCAGGTGCCCTCCAGACGCAGGTCATCCCGTCGGCGCTCGCCAGCCACCGGCGTCACGTTCGACGAGAGTGAGCCTGAGTCGACCGAGGGGACGGCGGACCGTCCAGCAGGCCTGCAGGAGGCCCTCGATGTGCTCCCTGCAATGCCAGAGCAGGCGCATGCGCGCACCCAGCCTGGGTGCAGCCACCGACGGATCCCGCCGCCTTGGTCAACCACAGGCGCAACCTCTGCCGCATGGCGGTGGCGTCGGCCAAGATGCTTCGCGCGTCCCGCGAGCTCGGCCTGCCGACCAGCACCGCCCTTGAGGCACAGGAGCAGGAATACTCGTTCCTCATGACAATGATCATCGCGGCCAGGTTCCCGGAGGTGCGCCTGGCGAGGCAGCGGGCGTTCGTCGAGCGTGCCCAACGCCGCTCCGATCGCGCAGAGAAGGCGGCGCACGAGGCCATGATTGAGCACAAGGCTCGCTGGCTGGTCCAGCAGCATCGTGCCAAAGAGCTGACTCGCGCACAGGTCTTGCTGCATCTTGCTTCAGCAGCTCGAGACCCTCGCCCAGCTGCCAGTTGCCGCCAATGACGACGAGAGGACGAGAGGCAGGGCGCCGCAACGCCCGTGGTGGAGGAAGCGGCGCCAACCACGCCCGTGGCGAACGCACCTAGCCAGATGTCAGGTGCCTCGGTTGCAGCCATCGCCGAGCTCCAGCAGGGCCAGGTGAGCGCGGCGCAGCAGATCGCGGGGCTGGCCATGGTACTGGGCGGACTGCTGTCGGGACTGACGCAGATCACGGCAGCAGCGAGTATGGCGGCGACTACGGATACGACGACTCCAGATGCACAGCCAGCGGCTGCCAATCCTGCCCAGGCTGCACAGCCCACGCAACACGTGGCAGCAGTGCCACAGGCTGCTGCTGCACAGCCCCCAGCCGCGGCATGTCCTGCGATGACGGCAGAGCAGCTCCAGGCGCAGGCAGCGATTGACGCAGCGGATGCAGACAGGGATGAGAACGCCGCAGCCGATGCCAGTCAGACTGCGCCCGACGAGCGCAAGGCGGATCGCCAGGCGCGCGCTCGCGCTGCTGCCGAGGCTCGTGCGAAGGCGGCAGCGGACGAGAAGGCTACCCTGCAGGCCCAGGGCTTGGCCGCTGCTGGGCAGCCCACCCTAAAGACAGTCATCGCAGCGTCGAGTGCTGCCACGGTTCCAGGAGGCGCGCTTCCACGCGTGGTGCCGGGCGAGGAGCGACCCGAACCAGCGGGGAGAGATGAGCCAGCAGGTGGCGGAAGCCGTGAACGCAGCCTGCGCCGTGCGAGCGCGGACGGGGTTCGCGCTGGCCAGAGTTCTGAAGACGATATTGAAGCGACGCAGGCGAGCCCGTCGAAGAAGGGGGGGGGCCAGCCTGCAGAGCCGCTGGGCGCCAGTGGGGATCAGCCCGCGTGGGTTCCGAGCGCCGCGGCTCTGCCGGGGCGCCCGGTCCCGTCTCTGTTTTCGGACATGCCGCCCGTCAATCCAGTTCCCGACTGCGGCAACTTAGCAGCAATGCTCGCGGCCCAATGGCAAGACGCAGTACTCTCTCCCCTTTCCGTGGCGCCGCCATCCACGCGACATCCTGTGCCATATCTCTTTCACCATCGTCTCCATTCTAATACCGTTGATTTCCTGACACAGTATGCCTGCTCTAATGATGTGCACGACGATGACATGGATTATTTTGTAGTGTACACAGACGGATCGGGAAAGTCAGACAGTGCAGGCATGCAGGGGCCACCATCACGGGCGTTTGCCGTGTGTGGTGTGACGCAGGACGGCAAACATCGGATGGATGGTTACATGGCCGGATCTGCCCCATCCCTTAAATAAGATTACGTGAGCCCGTCGAACCCCGCCGAGTTTCATGCTGTTCTTTGGTTTGTCTGTTGGCTGCTTCAGGCACCTTCGATATATCGCTCGAGGCGCATTATTGTTCGTTCGGATAACATGATGGTGGTAGAAGCTGCTGCAGGAGGTGTGTTGTACAGGTCTTGCGGTGCGTTGCCCATCCTGTTGGGTTCGCTCGTAAAGCTCGCGCGAGTGCGCACTGTGATGACATGGTTGCATGTTCCAGGTCACGCTGCATATCCACTGAACGAACTTGTAGATGCACTTTCTCGCCTAGTGGCGATCAAGGATATATCGGATCGTCCAGAAGGCGCGGTGCCTCGGTCGATACTACTCTCTCAGATAGACAAGGTTCCATGGTTATGGTTGACGGCCGACGCCCACCGTGGTGCGAGGGAGTTCCCAAAGCTGACCCCAGCTCGCCTCGACAAGATTGCTCCTGCAGAGGTGTCTCCGTTGCGTGCTCTGTCGTCGCCAGCTGCTGGATCGACAATTCGAGATAGTCAGCCATCCAGACCCCGACAGTCCACAGGATACCACGCCATCGTCTTTCTGTAAACTCAGGTTTGCAGTCGCTAACGTACTTGCACTGCGACCACGCAGACGACCTACACGCTCTCACGGTATACGTATACGGTGCGCGTATCGGAATGTAGCTGGCATTGATTTCCCCGGCCGCATGCTGGCCCTTGCGCAGAAGTTTGCACGTTGCCAATACCTGTTCGTAGGCACGCTTGAGACACGTCTGAGATACAACACACAGCGCGGAGTTTATCCATATCTCGTGATGACGTCTGCGGCCGAATCAAATGGATGCTACGGAATCGCGTTGTGGGTTAACACGGGGTTGGACTACCTTCCGGGTTGTGCGCTAAACAGACGACATTTTCGGGTACTCTCACATGATTCACGGCCTTTGCTTGTAGCTGTGCGGGCCCCCTCGCTACGCATCGATGTTCTTGTTGCACGCGCGCCGCGTGCGCGTGCGACGGGAGGTCTCGACATAGCAGCGCAGTGGGCGACGCGCATGCGTGATGTCGTACTCGCGCGGCCTAGTCAGACCCCGCTATTTTGTCGACTGGATGCGAACGCCACTGTCGGAGCGGTTCAGTCCAGCCACGTGGGCCCCGTGGGCGCCGAGCAAGAAAGCGACGCTGGACACTTGTTTCACGATTTCCTACGAGATGCCGGACAGAGTGCGGCGTCTACTTGTTTCGGAATTTTCCACGGCATACATGGTGCATGGATGCCGCCCGGCGCGGCCCCCCAGGGCCCGAGACGTCGCATTGACAATGCGACAGTGCCTCGAGCCTCTCTCAATTCGATCAGTCGACAAGGGGTTGATCCGACAGTGGATCTCTCCATGCGATCTGATGACCATGTCGTTGTTGTGGCCGACGTGCAAGTCAGCAGCGCGGGCCCCGTGCGGGCTACTTCCTCTTGGGCCAAAATTACCCGCGATCAGAAAAATTCCAGGACGCTGAGTGCGCGGCAAAGTTTGCTACTATGGTCAGAAATATTCCGCAGCCAGCTTTCCAATCGCACCCTGCTGATCATGCGCAACATTTGAGCGACGAGCTAGTTGGGGCGGTCATCGAATGCTTCCCCCGTGCAGAAGTCGCCAACGGGGCGTTTGCCGCGTCAGTCATGGCTCCCGGTTCGCTAGCTGACGCTCATGGGCCGTCGCTCCTTTCTGGGCGACGAGAGCTGCGCATGTTGCGAAGACGACTCAACTTACTACTGCTTGCTGCTGCCTTTTGCGCGTGAGCCACAGATGGGAAGGAAGTGGAGGAGTGGTTGGGCTATCGACAGCACAGGCGGAGGTGGTCAGTACGAGAGGGTCCTTCTCGTGCGTTGCTCATTGATGCATGCGACGCAGTTGCGAATGTCGGGTCGCAGGCTTTCGCGGCGGCAGTGGAGTTTGCACAACCGTTGCAGGATGTAAGAGGTAGGTTACATGCCCCTCCGTTCCATGTCTTACATCTGGAGGCCCTGTGGAAACTGCGTCGTGTACCAACACCTGGGGGCCACGTAAGTCACCTGCAGCCCAATGACTGTCCCCTGGTAGGTATTCCACGAGCCATGTATGTCGGCGGTGCGCCGTGGCACGAACCCCCCCCCCAGCACTGCCGGGGGGTTTCGCGCACTACCTGGGGGTTTCGTGCAGCCCGCACCGGGTGCCGCCAGCGGCTTCGAACACACCCCCCCTT